TTCTTTGAGAATTCTACAAGTTTACCAATAAGACAGCAAAAATACACTATATTATCTGTTTAAATCTAATGGAACTTGATTCACACATTTTACCACTTAAATACCTTACTGTATTATTCACACAGTCAATTATTAGATTAAGACCTAGTAAATTCCATCCTTAACAACCAATAAATTGAAAACTGAGATTTTAAGCAGTTGAGATGTAGTAATTTCTCAGTTTAACGCATGTTCCCAGTATTATGAGTAGTTTTAACTTATGTTTTACAGTTCATAATGTTCATATATTGTTCTTCATGTGGTCAATAAAACTACAATGTGCAAAATATTATTAAAAAATTATTCATCAACATGTAAAAAATGTTCAAGTTATAAAATAATCAAATTTTCAAATGTAAAGTGTTTGATTTGATCACTTCAAAGTTTAAAATATATATAATAAATTAAAACTAGCCCAAAGTGAAGCTTAATTCATACTAAAAAGTTAAAAACATTAAGCTCCTCATTAACTTTCTTACAGCATGTTTTGGATATGTAATGATATTCTCAAAGCTATCTTTCCAATAATGTGTGATTGTGGGAATTAATGGTTTCATAAATTTTTTCTTTCTCCTTGACTAACCTTCAATGAGTGAACAATCACTAAGTTTTTTATATTTTTGTTTAAAGAAGAATGACATTTCGAGCTAGTGCTCTTTGTCAGATCATACAGCTACCTCAACACGTAATCCTTATTTAAATGAAGATATAAAAAACTTAGCAATTGCTCAACCAATTCTTTAATTTCATTATCTTTGTCTCCTATGTGGTTTTAACTGTATGTTTCTTTTTATAACCTTCAAAGAGTTTCAACTAAATATTTATTATTCTTTTATTGTTTGTGTGTGCATGAATTTTGGCCTCAAATCTTAACCTTTTTCCTTTTCTGTGCCAAATGATTAATGATTCATATTTCAAATAGTTTACTTAGTCTGCTTGGTTGTTTTTAAATATTTTTTATCATCCTGTTATGTTAATCATAAATGGCAACGTCTATTCCAATGATCATGATATATTCCATGAAATATGTTTTTTTTTCATAAAGTCAGACATGTTTTCATAATCAAAATGTGTGTATTTTGTTAGATGAAAAATATGATTACATTTGTTCTTTTGATCATGATTTACAATAACATCTGTTCTGTCAATCATAATGTTTGGCCAAATCCATTCTGTTACTCAAGCAGTATGGTAAAACAAAATTTGTTAATTAAAAAGTAAATGTATGGTTGACTATGTTCTGTTCATCACTAAATACAATTAGACCTATTTTGTTGATCATTGGATGAGATTAGACCTGTTAAACCTGTTCCAATGTTATTATGGACCCTGTAACAACAAAGGTATGGTTGCAAAAGTACTTTGATGCACAAATAGTTTAGAAATATATGTATATTAAGTCAAAGGGGATTTGAAATCCTCCTCCATTGGTAATTTAAGGGTTATCCTGTTATATCAATCATAAATTATAGCTATAAGTTTTCTGCTCATCATGAAGTATGGCTGAACTTGATCACTGTATATGATTACACCTGGTGCATTAATTTACATTTATATTACCTTTAATTACCTTTCATAATTGCATCTATTATGTTGTATATCTTGCATGATTACATCTGTTATTTATCAAATGTGACTATGCCTGTTCTGTTGATCCCCATGTATCAGTTTGGTAAGTGTTATGTGATGAACTGGTGTTTAATTTTTTTCATTGTATATAAATGATATGCAAAGAGGTAAAAACAATTTCTAAAAATATTAAAGTACTAGATAAATCTTTCTGACCTTGATATGGCTGTTCAAGCTGGATAAAGTCCTTCACAATGAAATTACTATAATCCTTCCCAAACCACAATTTTGGAGTCCCCTTTAAGCCAAGCTCATTTAATGCTATTTCACTGGTGGACTGACGCAAGTCCCCAACTGGGATGTTTAACGTGTTACTGAATCCCTCGTTGAGAGAGTCTATAGAACCAGATGAATGCCTCCTCATACGGTGTTTCAAAGCTTGCAACCTCTACAGAAAAAGCATATTTTTCCTGAATCAAATGATAAGCCTTTATAAATTTCTCTAGCTATATATCTAATGTGAAAGTTTGTGAAGAACTCTTTATGACATAGAAACAAACATTTATATCAATTGTTTATGTACTTGAGACTTCACACAAAGTCTTATTCTGAGACCCATCATAAGACTTAAACTTTCTTTAATTTCTTGTGATGGGGCTCCTCTCAGGTGGGTATCCCATGCAACTGCTTCCTTTGCCCCCACCCCCTAATGCCACCTCTGATAAAGATTTTATGAGCATACACGATCTGAAATGAGCATATTAAAATGGAAAACAATGAGGTATGTATTAACACAAATTATAAATTCAGTTATCAATGCCAAAATCTTAACTAAATCTGCTTTGAGCTAATGAACACTGTGTTCAAATTTGAAACTACTATATATCAATGTATCACAGACACATATTTTTGATAAATCAGCCATATTCAAAAGACTGCATATAATTTTATATATATTATATACATGAATGTATACATAAACAGTTTTCAAGTTTGAAATAAAAAGTTTTTTTTTTTCTACAATGTTCATGGATTGCAAATTCTTAGTAACTGGCGTAAGTTTTCCCTCTCTCAGAAATAAAATTTTTAATAACTGATGTTCACAATCTCAGAAGTTTAAATATTTAATAACTGGTGTTCTTTCTCTCTCTTTCTCAGAAGTGTAAATATATAATAACTAGTGTTCTCTCTCTCTCTTTCTCAGAAGTGTAAATATATAATAACTAGTGTTCTCTCTCTCTCTTTCTCAGAAGTGTAAATATATAATAACTATTGTTCTCTCTCTCTCTTTCTCAGAAGTGTAGATATTTAATTACTGATGTTCTCTCTAAGAAACGTAGTGATGAAATAGGAACGAATTAAGAATTAAGGTTTTAATTTTAGAGAAAAGATTACAAGGTGCAAAAAATAATAAAACTGAGTTTCTATGGTTATTAATAATACTGCATAAAGTTTCAAAATCACAAAACATTATATGATTCAGATACTAGTAAACTCATTACACAAGAAGCCAAATATAAACAGATTTCAGTAAATCTGAGGCAACCATCCAACAGAAAGTCTACAGAGAAATTATAGCATCACAGTAGTAGATCTTTTCATATACCTTGAACTTTAGACTCACAACCTATAATGAAACAACAACCCAATTTTTCAATACAAGTAGTCTTACTTAGTCAGGAATCAGAATCATGTATGCTACAGAAACACTATTTATGTGTAATTATCTAATGAGAGTAAAGGTTAGTATATATTTAGTTTGAAATTGAAAATCTTAAGGCCAAAATGGTAGTTGTCAAAAGATTTGTCACTTACTTATTAAGCACAACTCCATTCAATTTAAGTCTAATCCTCATTATATTAACTTCACAAAATAATTACACAACTAGAACTAAAACATTATGTTAAACACACAACAGATTTTAATTTTTGGACATTTACAACTACTTTCAAAAAATTCTTTGTACAAAGTATTTTTACTTGCATAAGAAAGTATGAAATTAAAAATAAAACAAAATTAGCTTCTTATGATTATGTTGAACAAAAGCAAAAAAACTATACATTATTTCTCCTTTAACAGTGAAATTTTCCCAAACAAGACAGCTAGGAAAGTCATAACTGCCAAGTCCACTTGAAAATGAAATACATACTTACTGCAACTGCCTGAATAACTTTCCGACTTTTGTGTCTGCTTGAGTACAGTCTTCTCCCTTTAAAACCATGTTCATCCACTTCATCATCAGCTTCCTGTTTTCCATCTTTTAGTTTCTTCATTTCATCCATGTTACCTTCAGGATTATCGTCATCAGAATCTAGATTTTCTGAATGTTTTTTCTTTTGTATTATATACTTCCACTTTTTTGTGTTTTGTTCCTTATGAATTTCAGTTTTTCTTGCATTATCAGTACCAAGTCCTTTATCATCAGGTACTTCCTCATCTTCCTTTCTAGCTTCAAAGGCATTTGGTAAATCTGAATCACAAGTGGCTTGCTGTATAGTGACCTGATTCTGGTAAGATATATTTTCTACTGATAGTGAAGAGGAAATGTGAATACTTGGTATTAGCTGTGAAAAAATAATCTGTAGCATTACTATGTTTACTAAAAGGAATAAATACAAAATATACTAAAAACATAAAAGTTCGCTTTTATCATATGTTATTCTGAATTCACACTAAAAGGGTTTCACATTTAAAATCAAATATACGAAATGACTATTACTGACCACTATTTAGCCATACTAATGACTAAGCTAAAATCCAGCTAAAAATAAACAGCTTCTTTAAAAAAACTTCTATAAGAAATTATAAAAAACAATTTTCCTTTTCATGGTTGCTTTTTTCCACTTAGAATGAAATTATATTTGAATGTGAGCTACAAGTATATGTTGCTACATGAATAATCCTAAATAAATTACTTAAATTTGAAGATCTTATTCATTTAACATAAAGATCAAACTTATAAATGATAATCTTTCAGTGTAGCTCCACTTATTTTGATGAAAGGTAAATTATGAAGCTGGTTTTAATTTATCCTTTACTCTGACACTATTTATAAAAACTGTTCAATATATCAGTTTATTTACAGTTTCATATTTTCAATGTTTGTATTTTGTGAACTTCCAGTGACTGCATTCTGAACATGCAAAATATCTACACGTGTCCATGAATAAATAGTTTTTGATATCAAAAAAATATACATAGATAATTAGAATATCAGTATCTTAATACTACTCTTAAATCTGGCATTCTGAAGAGAAATAGCTGCTCAATTTCTATGTGCTCTAGGTACTTGTTTTATGTTTCATATGCATGTATAAATTAATAAGAAAATATTTCCTTGTGCCAAAACATATGCAACAATAAATCACATGAATGTTTGTAGATTCCAGCACATGGACTCCAACACAAATAAGTAAATGTCTACACAAGTATTAAATAATAGGATAGGTCAAAATTACTTATAAATGTAGATCAGGTCAAGGGCAAAGTTTGTATTAAAATTTGATGACGAGGAACCCACTTTGAGACTAATAATGGCTGGAGACGGCTTAAATGG